GAAAGTCTGGTCGAGTGGATGAATGTCGACAGAGAAACACCTGTTGGTCAGGAGTTGCTTGAGTATGCAAAAAGTTTTACGGGACCTGCTGTCAAGGGTATAGCAAGTAAGCTTAATGAAGAAAGTCTGGTCGAGTGGATGAATGTCGACAGAGAAACACCTGTTGGTCAGGAGTTGCTTGAGTATGCAAAAAGTTTTACGGGACCTGCTGTCAAGGGTATAGCAAGTAAGCTTAATGAAGAAAGTCTGGTCGAGTGGATGAATGTCGACAAAGAAACACCTGTTGTTCAGGACTATACTGACTCTGAAATTATGGATTTTGTTCTAAATCCTGATAAAAGCAATGAAAGTGATGAAGATAAAACAGATGTAGCTGAAAAACTTGCTATTGATAAGTTAATTAAGTTGATGAGTGAATTAATCAGTGGGCTAGAGCAATGTACCTTTGTGACAAAACAAGAGCTAATGACTCATCATTTGCTGTATGAAAAATTACACACGGAAAGATCAAAGCACATAAAAAAACTTCGCTTGGATGAAATGTTTAAAAACATATGCAAGAAGAATGTGTGTCAGAGCAGTAGGCCTACATCCGATAATTCTGTGGCTTCAACTTCAAGTATCCCAGGTGTTCCCCCTGCATCATCACAAATCCATGATGAAACAGTCAGCTATGAAACAGACAGTAATCCTGACAGCCCTCCACTTCCACACCTTTGTGATTAGCTCTATAATTCCAGTAAAATTATAAATTTTGCCACTTTGGAAGTGGTACTAATGCAACATTCTTTGTAAGTACAGTATTTAATAAACCTTTTTCATTTATACTGGTGTCTCTAAAGCACCATGGACTGCTAGAAACTTAAATAAAACAAATATTAAATGTAAATTAAATGTGATTAAATGATTAATGACATACATTAGTAAAGGAATGATTTCCTTTACCTTACACTCAGCTACCATGAAGATGAATACATTATTCTATTACAAGCATATTTTAGAAAACAATTAAGTATTTCTGATTAAGTATTTTAGATTTTTACAGAAAATTTCTTGTTTTATTTACAATCTTTACTTTATTTACCAAAATGTTTTATTTCCTGACCATTTGATCTAAGCTTCTATTGAATCATTGAACTATTACCTATAATAAAATGTAAAATTTCAAAATATTACTCCTATGTTTTTTAATGAAGACAAGACATTAAGAGTCACAATTTGCTTAAATGCCATCTTGGAAAGTTTCAGTATGATTGATAACAACATTCTTGATATTAGTGATATTTTCTCAGAACATAAACAGCAAAGGCAATTCATCTATATGTTTATGGTACAGGTACACCACCGATTTCCCAGCACCCTTGGTTCCAAGGCCTTGCCAGATCAACAGAGGTCATGTAATAATAATTCAACAATACATCACTAATTATACCCCTCCCAGTGTAGTATAATTAATATTTTAGAAATTAATAAACATTTACCTTGTGAGAGGACTAACAGAACTATAGTAACATTCACTTAATTCCACAATTTCTTTATGCAAACCCAAGACTTGATTGAATATAAATATCATAAAGTATAAATGTTTTTATATATTTTCAAGTATTTCATTAAATGGTTAGCCACAGAATCGTAGTTACTATTTTGATATCTATGGCACTATAAACAAAGTTTTTGAGGAAATGCTATAGAGTAGGATAAATGAATTATATAAAACAGATTATGCATCGAAAAATTGATTTTCACTGAAAAATCCGTGACTTTAACAACCCTAAAAATATGAACTTCATCATCAGTTTTTCTGTTCCTGAAATATTGAATGTTCTCAAGAATGTGCCACGTGGGAAACTTCCTATGTCACACCATTCTTCTATTAAAAACAAATAAGTATGCATGTGCAAAACCACATTCTCTGTAGTCAGAAATGCATATTTGAATACTGTAGCTATATTTAACCATCTTTTTATGATATGGTTTTGTAATAAATTAGTTATAACTATCTCAGGTAAAGTTTATGTTTTTCTTTTGAAGTTGATTTATTTTTGTGTCACTAATAAAAATACACTGTGAAATACTTTAGTAAAATTATCTTCAAGCTTAAACCTAAGTTAATGTCAGTTACAGGCTTACTTAGTTGAAAATGTAACCTGGTATTTTAATATTGTGGATATGTTCAGTCATTCACCTCATAGTATCATGTAGTTAAAAATATAAAAATTGAATGAAAACATTTATATTTGACTTTTCTATTATATTGAAATGCATATTTCTAATAGTAATGTCTTTGAAAGTTCACATAAAATTACAATTAGGTTTCAGTAACAACTAATACCTTAAAAGCTGATTTATTTGCATGAAAAATGAAGGTTCATTATTTCTATTTGGTTCATGTATAATATTTCGGAGCTTGGATATTACCAGTAAGTAACATGAAGTTGTAATATTTACCACTTGAAAATACCATGTGTACTCTTCAAATACTCTCTGGAAAACTTCTTCCTTATACAAAACCTTTCAAATTTAATTAGCTAGAACATTATGTTCAGTATATGTTTTTTTGTGATCAAAAGTTTAAAGATTATTATTGTAGTAAGATTAGTTTCTTCTGCATTTTGAATTCACTATTTAATTGATAATCTTTGGGTTATTATGCATGAATATTCATTGATCAGAATGTAACTAATATTTTATTTCAAAATGAGTGATAGCTCTGATTTCAAATGTAGAATTGATATTTTTGTAATTTAGTGTAAGATAAAGGGCATATCCAGATCTTTAAACAAAGTGTAGATTTTGTAATACAACACTTATGGATTTCTGTAGTTTTATTAAGATATTAGTTTAATATTGTTTTTAGATAGAAATTAAAGCAGTGAGCATACTACCAGAAACTGCATATATACTGTTTGACTCACCAGTCCATGCATTTACTCCAATACCGCTTGACCTAATGGAAACACCAGTACAGGTAGGTGTGTTTTTATTGACTGCTATATCATATTGAATATTTTTATACTTAGTTATTCAATATACAAAATATGTATATGAAATTATATCTAACTGAAATTTTATTTTGCTGTTTTTCTTTATTAGGTTTGTAAGAATCATAAATAGTTTGATTTTAAATGTGTATTTAAAAAAAAATATTAACCCATCATTAGATGGTTTTACTTTTAGTTTTATAAATCTTTAGTGATAAAATAGAAATTTACTTATTTTGAAATGTTTTATTCTTCAAATAATATAAGCTGTATAAAAGTATTTTTGAAATAGAAATAAACTTTACCCATTTGAGATTCTTATTTTCAAGATCGATTATGCCTATTTAAAATTTATTTATTCAATAAACCGTATGTTTTAAGTAATTATCTTTTCACTTGATGAGTTTTATGAATTAAAGAGTTTAAACTAGTTGACTTATGGCTAATCAATGGGATAAAATTAAAACAAAACTTCCTGAATGGAATGTTTTCAGCACATTTTCATAAAATATTAAAGAAAAAACAGTAGGAGAAATTAAAAAATCTTTCCATAGCACATTTGAGCTCAGAACAAATGGAATTTGTGTATAAAATGAGTTCATCTTGACAACTGTTTTGTAAAAGAAAGAACACTTTAATCTCTAGCTTAAGTTTTAATATGAGAAACAGGATTTTACTAATTAGAAATTGAATACCAATAAAATAATTGTGTTCTTTTTTCATGCTTTTTTGCAAAGTTAGTAAGATTTAGGAATAATATATATCTTTGATGATAACTTCATATTATGTGAACCAGGTTTATTTTTTAGTGCAAGAACTAATGATAAACTTTTACTTTGGCTAGTGTACTTTTGTAAGGTACTAATCATGAGAGTAACCTAGATGTGTGTTTGCCCATTTTGCTAGTTTTATCAACTTGTCAATGCTGGTACACAAGATTTACAGTTTGACATTCACCTAGAACATCCTAAAAATGTAAGTTAAACTGTTTTTGAGAAAAGTCATAATTTTTAAAAGAATAAAACACCAAACAAATCAGTCTTATGGGGAAATTATTACCTAAAAATCAGGTTTAGAATACATGTTTACAAAGAAAAAATGACTAACACACTCCAGAAAAAAAAAAGATTTTATTCAAACCTGACGTTTTGGCTCATGCCTTTCTCGAGGGTTACAGCATCACATATAAATACAAAAATGTTACATATGAAATGACATGTACCAAGTGTGATCATAAATACATTGGTGAAACCTGTTGTCCAGTGCATGAACATTTTAAGAAACACATCTGTGCATCTGCAAATCTTCATTTTAAAGAAAGCACTGCTGATCACTTTCTAACAAAACAATAGATAAAGTAACATTAAGCTCTT